TAAGAGACTTTAAATATTATATTTACCAGTTTGAAAAATTCATCTAACCCAAAATCTTTCTTTATGGACCCCTGTTTATTCCATAAAACTATAAATATGATTATTCCCTTGCCCCTTACTGCAAGCAAATGGCAAAACAAGTCTAGGGAAGTTGCTTGTTTTTCACTGAAGCAACTTCAGTAATTCCTAGATAGCTAATTTGTATTAGCATGAGAGGTTATTCCACTAATAAGGTTTAAATTAATCTATTGCAAAAGTACTGCCTCAGAGAGTTGCCAACAATCTGACCAGCAACACATTCATTTTTTCCTCGCAACTAACAGTTTACTTTCCAGCTACACCATGCTCACTTAGCACTAAATAGCTTAATTTACTTCTATTACTTCTGTATTGTGGGTGTTTTGGGACTTTTTTATCATCATAAATTTTGTCCTTTCAAAGCTGTACATCTTCTTTGCCTACATGCTAGCTTCTCTTACATTCATCCACTTAGGTGAACACTACATAATTTATATTGAAAACATTTTTCCTGATGATCTTTTACTATGCATTTATTTCTCTTCTACCTCAGCTATTAAGAGTGATATATGGTTCTCAATTTGGCATCAGCCAACAATTGATCATAGTGTTCAGTTCAAATACAGCTAGCAATTATTACTACAAACTCCCTATTTCAGAGATTTATATGGTGGTGACATGACTGGATTCCACTCCTACCAGGAGATTTCACAACAGCAGCATCACATGTAAAAAGTCAAATTTTTTCCAATATAAATTATATCTTACGTTATTATGGCTGAAAACCACAGTATAAAATTGCTCAAGCTGACACTGCAAAAATATGCTTCAACTTGCCTTTGGAATTCAAAGTCTTAAATTGCATTGTTCTTCATAAAAATTGTGGAATTTTCTTTAAGCCTGTTTTTTATTAACACTACTGATTGATGTCTGAACACAAAAAGATAACATTATCCTCCAAAGTAGGTGGTATTTCCTTAAGTGGGGAATAATACTAATTACTATAAAGGATTACTGACAAATGTTGTTGTGATCATTCAAATTCAAAAGAGATTAATATCACGTGTTTTAAGGGCTGTGTAAATTTTTGGGCAATATTTTCTTTTCTTACTCACACTATACTACAGCATGACATATTGTCTTACCAGTGGAAAGTCTAAGCCTAGCATTAAGTTGATTCATCAATCAGTGAAATTTTTTTTTTCTTGAAGTTCTATGGCAGGTCAAGAAAGTAACGTGTATTTAACAGTATAACTAGCTTCCTATATAGAAAAGCTAGGAGAAACATTTATAACTATTCTTTCATTTGAGTAACAATGGAAACTTCTCTACAATTATTCGTTCCTTCTTTTGTTGAATTTTGTTCATGTCTGAATATGAGATACTCTACTGTCTCTTGAGCACAGCACTTGATATCAGAAGCTTCATACATTCTCATATTTAATGCTATGGCCTTGAACAAAGACATTAATGTTTTTTCTTTCCTGTTCCATCTGTAGAATGTGGCTATTAAAACTTAAGTGCCTCTTGTATTCATTGTAGTTATTAATAGTTGTATTGATTAATAGTTAATGAATTCAAAGTATTTTTGTGGACAAAAATGTTCTCAACAGTGCAGAGAGGAAACTGGAATTTCAATTATATTAAAAAATATTAATTGAAAATATACTAATGTTCCAAATTGCAGCAAACCCAAAGAATTTTGAAGTTGCCTGAAAAACACAGAAGTCACACTCAATTTTGTTTCAAGAAAACATTTCCCATTGTATCTTATAACAGAATAATGAAATAAATTGCAAAACAAAAAGTTACTTCAAAATAGAAAAAAAATCAATATCAGAATTTTTTAAAATTAGTATCCACTCATCAAAAATATTGATCAACTCTAGTTTCATATGTTATAATTAATCTTATATTGAGGATCACTTTAAAGATGACAAAAAATGGTTTCACTATTAATCTATCGATAGAGCTAAGTGATGGGACAGTCCCCAAATTACCCAGAGTCAAAAGAGCCTCAACACCCTATATACACAGCTTTTTACTTCTTCAGCTCCAGGTCCTTGTCCCTTGCAAATCAATTCACCACCTCCATCACAGTAATTATGGCATCCTTAAAAACAAATTGACTCATCAAGTTAGTTCCTCCATGATAGCCTCAGTGTCTTCAGTGATGCTTCTTTGTTAACAGAAAATGACAGAAGGGAGGGAAAAAAGTGAGCTTCCACCTGCCTCAGTCCCCCTTCACTACAGGACTGCAACAAAGCCAGGTTTCTATTTCCTCCTGTTTAAAAACATATATGGAAAACACCAAAACGGGACAATAGCAATTCATATCCTTCATTTCATCTTATCACCACTGTTGACACCGGCTATCATTTAATCTCTGTCAATTTTTTTAAGAGTATTCACATTAGGACTGTCAAAAAAAAAAAAAATTCCCACAGCAGCCATGGCCACCTACTAACTCCAGTCTAATGGCTCCAAGGGAATTCCCTTTAGCAAAATCAAACTTAACGCAAGATAACAATCCAGTTTGGCTACTTGTAACTTGAACAGCGCGGCCTCACAGCTGACTTAATCCAACTGTGAAGTAATATGGTGTGTAATCCCGGGCAAGAGACACGTAAAATTTAAACCAGCAAGTTTGAAAGAAAGGGAATTGACCCACAGGGGAATGGTCTACACACCAGAGAAGAAGATATAAGGCAAAGCCTTTCTACTTTCAAGGCTCCTTGAATGTGGCTTTTTTTTCCCTTCTTCAATAAAAGGTTATCTTTCTCTCTACAGAGATCATGAAACAGTCATCAGCATATGTTTATGAAACAGTGATCAGCACATACTGTCCTAAATCCCCACCTGATGTGCACTACATTATTCCGCTGGCATTGCTGGCAAAGCCCCTCAGGTCCTGTAAACCAGTCTAGGGGCCCTTAATAGAAGTACAGCAATTTACACCAGTGGAAACTCTGCTATAATGACCTTACAATGATTTATACCAGCTAAATGTCAGAACCCACTAGGGGAAATAGAGACAAACAGTCTTGAAAGGATAGCATCAAGAAAAATGTTTTTTTCCTTGGGCATGATAGCTAGAATAACTAAAACTAACACTGTTACACTGATTAAGGAGACTACTGAAGAGCCATAGGAAAACTGAAGTACCAATCAGCTCCTCATTGTTACAAGGCAACACTGAGATGGAGAACCTGCCGAAATTAAAGCGCTCACAACAAGAATTTCTCTGCAGAATTGCTACCATGAGCCTGAGAGTGCCTGTGCTCAGCTCAAGGGCTGTCACAGCCACTCGTATAGACATTTTCCTCAGGGATGTTCTGTAGGTCACATCACCAGTCTACAGTTATGAAGTGTTCCTCCAGCAAAACCATCAGCACTTTGCTACTATCTGAAGCGGGTGAAAAAAGCTTCCTTCCTTTTTTTTTTTGTCTTTTGACTTTGTTTTTTTTTTTTTTTTTTTAATCTTTCAGCCTAAATGTCAGAAACTGACATATGGCCACACCTACCATTGCTTTATCAGTGCCACAGCAAAGTAATATGTGAAAGCCCTGCACAGGAATCTGCAGCCTGGGTCCTTTTTATGACAAACAAATATTTAAGGACAGGTCTCACAGGCTTTTTTGCTTGATCTCATTTATGTTATTTCAGTCTGTAGCTTTATATAAAATGAAAAACTCTCTAGGGAATTAAACAGCAAATAATGTTATGTTTTTTCCACTGCATCCAGTAGTTTGCCTACTTGTCCTCAAGTCATTAAGCAAAATACTTTAAATGTTTTTAATTTGTAATAATACACTATACAGGTTTTCATCAAAAGTAATGTGGTTTTATGTTTTTACCCAGATATTTCACTTGACATAATTTTCTTTTAATAGCCAGGTTGTGCTTTATAACATAGGCATAAAGGATCTCATGAAAATTAAATTCTTAAGCATTGGTGAGATGTGTATATATGTTACAGGTTTAGTACGTGTCACAGATAAATACAGACATATAATTAGTTGCTGGTACAGATTTTATAACATGTCATTAAAAAGTGAACTGTTGGAATTGTCTTTAAGATTCTATTAACAATTCATTAACTCTCTGAACTATTTAGGCATGGAACCTTAATATATTTAGTTTAGAAATATTTTCTGGGCAACCCGATCCAATAGGAGAATAAGGGTAGTTAAAGGTTAAAACAGAGCAGTATTGTGGTTTTCAGTGTCTGAGTGTTAGTTCTTTTGCCAGCTTGTGATCTGTTCCTAAAGAAATGAGCAAGAATTAAGGAGGAGTCTAGATTTCCAGATTTCTCCCTATCCTTTCTTTTAATTATGGAATTACCAAGCAAGCATCAAAACAGCATCTTCAATTGCTTCACCGTCCTCTAAAACAACTGTTGCCAAAAAATGCTGCATTGATCACCAGATACTCACACAGTACTTTCTGGTGGTCTAAGAAGATTTACTGAGTCACTGTTTGCCTCTTTGCTGCCTGCTATATTGTATTAGAAGCTGTTGAGAAAAGTGTATTATAATTTCCAATTGTTCATGTGAAGAATTGCCATTAGCAGACATGCCCTGTTCAGTCAGCAGTGAAAGCAAGAGAACCCTGCCCCAAGAAACTATCTAGACACACCAGTTCAAGCTATTCATGGTAAGTCAGATGAAGCAGTTTTCCTCAGTGCTGTACACAGGTTCTGCTGTCTGCTTCTGCCTGTCCTCCTGAACTCTGAGGATGTAGACTTCAGGAAAATAAACATGGAGTTCTGACACCAAAACCCTCAGCCTCTCCCAGGGCAGTTAAAGACAGATCCTTCTGGCTAGAACTCATCAGCAAACTTCTACATGCGCTGAGGGCAGCTACGAGAGACATAGGTACACTAATACAATGCATTTAAAAGCATCCATTTCTTTCTTTTCTCCCCCACCCGCAACCATTAAGTAATAATTAAGAGGTGGAAGCAGAAGGAGTATACTGACCTCATCGACGTTCTCAAATGCATTGATGACATCATACGGCAAGCATGAGAGCAGATCAATCACAAACCAGGTCTTCAAGTAATTCATGCGAATCAGTTTTGGGTCAGAGATCACCTCTCCTGCTGGGCCCACAAAGGTGGTATGGAAATTAAGCACAATGTCTACTAGAAAAATAACATCTACAATGCTGTCGACTACTAGCCATGCCACGTTGTTTTGTTTTGTTTTAAAGGAGACATTGTAAGGGACCAAAATAGCAGTGTAGAAAGTTAAAATCAAGATGATCCAGTCCCAGGTAGTCTTGAAAACACAATAATGCAAAATTATATGCGGCGGAGTCTTTGGTGCCTCTTGTTTGTACTGCGGGAGGATTTCAGAGCCCAGCTGCAGTACCTGTAGTGACAGAGATTTCAGGAGAAAAAGAAAACATGTTTAAGTTTTTTAATGTTATTTTTCACATTGTAGATTCTCAAGCTCAGTACAACAGTTCATAAAAATACGTGTCCATTAACTCCTTTTAACATTGCCAAATGGTAAGCAAGACAGGGTAGGTATTCTGTTATATAAATCAGTATCAACCTAAGAACAATTGTTTTTTCTTTTAATGCCATTAACTGTTTTTTGACACTCAGCCTAATGTGCTGGATGTCCAAGACCTATAGAGAAGAGACAGCTCCTTCAGCAGTCTAAATAAACGAGACAGATAAACGATGAGAAGGTAAGCACTTGCAAATAGAAATCGATGGCAAAACCAGGAAGAATACTTCAACTTCTGAGTTCCAGTCCAGCACTGGGACCACTGGACCACATTGTTCTTCAACATTGTCTATTTAACTCTTCACTATACTGTATCTGAAATAGTCTTATACTACAATCTACCATAAATGCACAGGCCTTTGTTCCTCTTCTCTGGGCCATGCAGGACCAAAGCCCATGGATAACCATCACTAGCCTCAATGAACTCATTCTGAACTTGAACTTTCACTGAGAGAAGATCAGTGTCTTCACTGTTTGATGGTGTACAATGTGGTTAGGTCTGAATTAAAAAAAAAAAAACACTACAGCAAAAGATGATCTGTCAGCATATGTTTTAACCCCTGGACCTCAAGCTAGGCACATGCTCCAAATGTTTTGCATAACTGCAATCACTATCAGTGCTGCCCATTTTAAGTCTACTATCTCTCCAGTTCTGCACACTAGGGCAAAAAGAGTATGATCATGTATTTAATTCTTGGGAATTAAAGCTTTTTTTACATACCTATGAACAAGAATGTGTTTGTTTATGTCTATGAATATACATGAGGGTGAAACCAACCTGAAGGACCTGTCTCCAAATAAAGACAAGTTAAATTTTAAAATGAAATTTACCCTGGGTGAGTTATGGGTGAAAACTGAAAGGAAGATGGAGGTTTGCTCAAGTGAGATCTGTTTGCTAATGCCAAACTCATAGAACCTGTGAGAACTATTTAGGAGCACGGTTCCTTTTTCACATTTATTTACACACAGTTCAGAGCAATAGGGAGCAGAGAAGGAAATTAAATGGCCACCTTCTCAGGGAAAAGATCAGACAACATGGCTATAATAGGAGGATGTCTTCCTTTCATGCTCCTTATCTCAGCTTTTCTAACGTCAATTATTTAGACGTGGATTTTTATCTGCAGGCTTTTCTGAGTGCTTTTTATTATTCTTTTTTTGTGAACTGGTGGGCTTTTGGCTTTTTTCCAACAGGTTAAGCCAAAGGGGACAAAAGAAAACAATCAGCTACAAGCATCCTAAGTGGACAAAACAGCCTCAGATCAAGTTCCTTGCTGCTTTGAACCTGACAAAATCACTTACTCTTGTGCACAACAGGGGTCAGACACTGTCAGATCACAGTTCCTTGCACATGTGTAAATGACAATGGGAGTTGCAAGCCTGCTGACTTTGAGCCCAGTATGTTCTCCAGAAGAGAAATAGCATGACCTGCTCAGAGAGACCTGCACATTAGCACAGAGGCATCAACAGTTTGAAAAAAAAATAACAGAGGACTTAGTATTTTTGTTTCACTGAGTTTCTAGAATGACAGCAAAGAAGGAAAAGGAACATTTTCCCCTAAGTAGAACCCTTGCAGACCAAACTAACACTCAGACATGTCCACTGCAGTATTAAGTACTCTGCCACTCCTGACCCTGATTCACACAGGTTCTCCACGCTACTAAAAAAAAAAAAAGATTTTTTTTTTAAAGTTGCCTTGTGGTAAGAGGAGCTGGAAGCAGCACGAGACAAAAGCAGTCTCTTCTCTGCAGAAGGCACTGGCCAGCCAATGCAGTCCCCAGAAGTCACTGGTAGTGACTGGAAGAGACATAGGTTGTGTACTGAGCTAGTACGTGTACTCAGTGTCATTCCCTTCAGGGCTTGCTTGCAGTCCCACTGACAAATGTTAGGATGTCTTTTCTCAAGAAAAGTTCTACCCCAAGATCAATATTGCAAATACCTCCTGCCTTCCCTTTGAACATCACAGCTGTACCTGAATCAGTTGGAAAGCACTGAGCTACTGGGCTTTTATGAGAATTGGGATGAGTAACAGCTCTAACATAAGATCCCAAGCCTGAAATATGCTTCACTGGGCAGGGAGAGTCCTCTGCAATATTCAGTCACTAGAATAACTGACCAGCAAAACCAAGCACTTTCTATCACGTAGTAACATTTTTCAGTCAGTTAACTGGATTTCAGTTGTAATGCTGAGATCTTACTAGTACGGGGAGATTGCACCATCCCTTAAATGCAATGTGAAAACATAATGGCTTCTTTTGCAATCATATGTCTCCTAGAGCTCATTTTCTTATCCTCTGATATTATATGAAAAAGTCAAACATTTTGGTAACCATTCTAATCAGCACAGGAACCTCAACCATGAAACACCGAAAAAAAACACGTTATTAATTCTTGTCAGATTGAGTCTTATATATACACATATAAGTTCTAGACTGAGAATTGTATAATGCATTCCATTTTGGCCACTGCTGGTCTCTTTGTACTCCAAGAACTTGTGGTAATTTTGCATCATCCAAACTAAAGTTACTGGAAAATGTACTAATATATTCCCATATACCTGCATAATAGGAACAAAGGCAAGAACAATCTCTATTTGGCAATAAAGAAGGGGCTAAATTATGGTGTCCATTATTTTGCTGTAAATAAAAAAAAAATTACAGTAAAGCCAGTGGAACTGCAGAGATGTAAAACTGAACTGAATGCAGAGAAAATCAGACTTCTAGTTTCAACTCATTAGGAAAACAAACAGCTTTGCTGCTTTGGTGTTTTAAAATGTCATCACCAAGTACAAAGCACTCTCCCCTAGCTTGTTTGAAGTTCAAGGGCTACAGCACAGGAAAATAAAAGAATTGATGTCTCCTTCCCTTTTTCTTTAGAAAGGGAATGTACTCTAAACTATCTGAATGGCTAGTGACCTTATTAAGAAGTCTTGAACGTCTGTTACCACCTGGTTAAGCTCTACCAATGGCTATTTAAAGTGACCAAGGGCCATGGCTTTAGTTGGTCCACAGTGGAAGGATGTGCACCAGCACTGTGGGCATGAATCGCAAAAGGAGGGGCAGGGAGAGGGCAGGAGATGGGCAGCAAGGAATGACACAGGGATATCAATCACTCGCAAGGTGGGGAGAGACACCTGTGGCAAGCCTGAGGTGTCTCCAGTATTTTGTTTGGGTAGGGATAACAAGCTCTAGCCCTGGCTCCCTCTCACTACATCACTAACACACACCTTGTAAAACCACTCCGCCTTGCTGGCATTGCTAGAGACATGAACTGTCATTTCACAGCTTGAGATGGCAGGAGGGCACTGTCCCAGCTCACACTACCTCTCCCAGGAAAGGCAGCTTGCTTTACAAATTGGCAAAGGTCTTGCAGCCTCCATGACTGCCAGCCAAGAGCTTTCATAGGCACCAAATTCTTTTCATTGAAGGAAGAGAAAAACGCCTATTATGACGCTTAATTCTTTCCGAGAAGAAGCATGTGCTTTTAGCGTTAAGTACAAGAAGAGAGCTCAGTGCTGTACTGAAATAATGGAAGGAGGTCCACAACGCTTAGTGCTAAAGATCTAGGTTTTGTCAGGTTGCTGCACTGAAAGTTAGCAGAGTTCTCTTCTCCACTTTTCTCTACTCTTTTCCCAACAAAGGCCACACACAGTCTATTTCTTCACGATCCTTCCAGACACACACATATCACCCCTGGGTCATCAGGAGATTAAGAGCTGTTAAGAGTCCACTCTCTACACCACATAGCAAAGAGATGTACCTTCTGCTCTATTCCAAGGTGCTCCTGCTGCAGCCTCTAGGGAGAGCAGTGCCAACCTAAGACACAATATTTGCTGAAGCAATCAGGTGTGGTTACTCACCCACACGAACTAACTAGATTCAAACTGCTTGTAAAGGTGCTTCTTCTGGAGAGAAGGAAAAAAAAAAAAAACACCAGAAGATGAATACAAACCAGAAGATGAATATAAAAGTAACCATGAAGAAAATGTACACAACTATATAAACCAATATGTTGAGCTTCCACCCATGTGCACTGAACAAATATTTCATTACTATCATTTTCTAAATAACAACTGAAACAGCCCTGGTTTTGGAAGATTTTTCCCTATTGTGCAGTTATAGTGTAGTAAAAGAAATATTTGTTTCAGAAAGTTATTTATGAAAGTATTATTCCAATTACTTATGATTCATCAGCCACTACAGTTGTATTATCTGCATTTATTATTTGTGGTAAAGTTGCATGATGTTTTAATAGCTCTCTAAAGCTGAAGAATATTAGTTCAAGAGCAGAAATTACAGATTTCATCATGGGTGTCACAAGACTATTCATTTTTTTTAACATAATAAAATAAACAAATTTTATCCTAGATCTGTTAAAAAATGGTGAATATATCACCCGTCAAGACTCAAAGTGCATCAACAAGTGGTTACAATTATTTATTTATTTTTAAGACTGCATGACTGGGGGAAAAAAAAACCCATACAATCATTCATTTTCAGCTTAATCTCTCCCTTTTGTGTTTTCAACCGCACATATTTGCTTTCTCTCACTCTCCCTTGCTTTTGTTTTCACAGGCACCCAGGCACCCACACAAATTGCTCCCAAGTCAAGGACTAGGTGCTAAGCCTCAACTTGAACTAGAGTTGAACGGCAGTTACAAGTCCCTGGTAAACAAGGTTTACAAAAAAAATGGCAGAAGTTCCATTATTAAGCAGTGCTGCTAAGCACCATTACAATTTTTCTGCTCTTATTTCTCATAACTATCACATTTTTTAAACTATGACACAATCTTGTTTACCCAGAACTGTCTGGTAAACATAGAGAATACATCAGCTAACACCACAGGTGCAGAGGGCATGTGATCGGGAAGAATGGTTCCTACAATCAGCTCCTTGGTGATAAAGCCAGAAATGTATCAGTTACTTTACACTCTTACTGCAAAAGGTACTCTCAGAGTTACCTAACACCCTTGCATTAATCGCATAATTAATTTAAGCAGTTTTCATGAGACTGCTATTAGAGAAGTCAGGTCAAAAAATCTACACATACTGGCAAAAGTCAGAGAATGAGTCTCAACAGACACTGCTTGTAATACCCATGGCCTGTGGACAAAACAACATAGTTTGTCATTAACATCTTTCTTGAACTAATATTTCATAAACGATAAAATAAATTGTAAGCTTTTGTGGCAGGCTCCTGTTTTGTATTTGTACATCACCTTGCCCCACTCAGGTTCTACAACACAACTTGCTCCTCAGATATAGAAAAATACAAGTGATAAAGAACTAAGAGCAACACAAATAATACTCCAATAAATGAAGAGCCTTCTTGAGCAAACAAGATTGATGTGAAATGCCATAGTCAGTAGGAAAAGAAAAAGGATGAATTTTAATTTGAACTTAAGATTTCAAATAGGCTACTGCAGAGATAAAGAAAAAAAAAAGTTTTGAAAATACAACAGGGAACAGTTAGAGATCCCACATTCAATATTATTGAGAGATATTTCCAGAATAAGAAGCTCGGCACCCCATATGTCTTCAAAGGAAGAAAAGTGGGCTTCTCTGTATGATTGTCTGCACTCTGTTTTTCTCTAGTGCAGTTGTATTGACTTAAGTGGAATTACGGCAGATACACAACAAGGTACCTAACATCACAGCTGGGGCTAATGTTCTTTTTAAAATAATGACTGCAATATTCAGTTGGCAATTAAAGAAACTCATTTCAGACATGTAAACTATACACTTGCCCTTTATTATTTATAATGAATCAACTGGCTGTGCCAGTTAGAATACTTGCAAAGACTTGTTGAGCACATCAGCTTGCAAGAAGTTTCAGTAATGTATAGTCACTTAAGTCCAGACCGAGGTTCACTGAGACAAACAGAATAACCTCAGACCTTTTGCCTTACATTTTACTGCCTACATTTTAGCACGAACTAAAATTCAAGGGTAGACATCTAAAGAGAAGGAAGGATTATTTGATGCTAAGCTTTGAGTAGAATTAGGAGGGCTACTCCAAATTCCAGGACACTAAAGCAACCTTAGGGTAGGCATGTAATAATCACACGGTACTCCTATCCAGCATAGTGTCCATGTGGATATCTGCTCCTTCCCTGTGCTAATATGATCTATGTTATTTCTGTACTTCCAACAGAAATCAGTTTTCCATTCTTGAGTGCATCTGTATTGAAGACTGAATAGGTAAGCTCCTGTCCTTGGGAATTTCATCATCACACGTAATAACAGTAGAGGTCTAGGCAGGAGGAGTTTATTTTGCATAGAAACTAAGACGTATCCAGGGCAAAACTAACAGTGTACTGACTATATGGAGACCCCACAGAACCCAGCAATGGCATACACCTCCAGCTACACAGGAAGATTAAGAATTATTGACATGAGTCACAGCTGCTGTCATGGCATCCACAGCAATAGGTGAAACAGGAGTGACATGTTATGTTGGCCATGCTGTCATTAACCAAGACCTTCCCTAAGCTGATTTTACACCAGGGAGACACTGCTACTGGCCCAGGAGACAGCTACAGGAAACTTGGGACAGTCTCTCCCCCTCGTGGCGAAAGTCCTAAAACCCTAAGTACTTCAAGGAGATGCCTTCTCTGGCTGGAGCTTTTCTCAAAATTTTGAGAGTCTACTTAAGTCACAAGGTTTCATTTTCCTAATCTGTCTGCAGCGTTGCTTGTGGCATCTTACAGCTGTTCTATCCATAAAACCAGCAACTCAAACGTATGTTTTAACCAGTTTGTAATGCAGGATTGGGACCCCACTGAAAAAGAACTAGACATAAATGAATGCAGAGAACAACCATATCAAGGATTTTCCAGAATTTCCTTCTGTACTACCCTGAGTTTTTCTCACCTCAGTTTTACACAAGTGAATAGTCCAAGATCCTACTAACATTGAGATTCTCAGACGAACAGAAACTAAGCAAAAAAGTATTACTTTCATAATAATGCCATTGTAAGACTTTGCGGAGATACAGAACACAACGCTGCAATTAGGTTACATGAAGTCTTTTGGACACCTGTTTCCATTCCACTGTCACGGAACACATTTCACAGCACATGTGCCACATTCTGAGCTCCCATGCCTGCCACCAGGTTACAGATTCCCAGGGAAAGGGGGAAGGACAGTGCTTGGCTCATGCAGAGACACCATACCCACAAAGGCTAAAATTATTTCTTTACTGTCTCTCAGGGAAAGAAAACATTACCTCAGCAAGTCGTGAATGCTTGTGAACATTCTCTCCTTTCTGCACGCTCGGAGCAAGCTGCTGCAGCACGCCTCGGCTGCTTGTGAGGGCACGGGTCAAGCGAGCAAACTTTCCCCAACCTTGAGAAAACATGCAAGATTATACACATTACCAAAAAAAGATGCAGGTGTACCACATAAAGACTCTCAAAAAAAAAGTTAAAACAGAGCAATTCACTTTAATAAGGACCACAAGGGACTATGATTTAACCAAGTACCAGATAAAAGCAAATCACAAAATAGGTGCCAGGGTGGTAAAGTAATAAAACCCACGACTGCAGTGACTTTGTATTCAATGGCTTTACAAGAGTGCCGTTACATGAATGGCATCTTTTGTAAGGATAAATGTCCACTTTACAATAATCTTCTATTAAATCCAATGGCCAGATTTAGATCTCATAGCACTGCAGAAGACACTCCAGACTAATCAAGATGTAAGACTAGAATCACGCACAACGAAAATTACAGTTGCCTGTAACAGAAGTGAATCTGGCCTCAGATGTATCAAGCATAGATCTGGCATAAACAGAGAAATACACATAAGATAATACAAAGCAGAGCAGAAAAAGCAAAACAAAATCATTAATTTTATCCTCTCTAAACAAAAGGGGGAAGTATACAAATGGATTTTCTCAAACTCTAATAAAACATTTAGGAGCTTCTGGCAGAGAAGTCATACACTGAATTTTAATTCAGGATATTTTTTACAATCCTTTCAAATACGCCTCAAAATAGAAGACCTTGAATGACAAGTCACAAGAGCTAGTTACAACTATAACCTGAGCAGTACTTTGCCATAACAGAAATCAGGCAGAGTATACATCTGGATATTTTTGGTACTCTGAAAGGAAAGTATCAGTGTGTTTAGTCCCAATCTTGAAAAATGCTAGCACCACCTGGGAACTGTTGAGCAGTCTCACCTCCTACTCCAATTGAGGATGCTCAGCACTTTGGAGATGTAGTTCTTAGTGAGAAACTCGTTCTGGAAAAAGTTCCCTCCACGTTATGGTTGTATCACCAAAAGAAATTATACTATTAGCAGTGACTGTTTTTAAAGTCCAGTCTGAATTTTAACCTGCAAGTGATCCATGACAAGTACAGGATGGTTAAAATACTGCCTGGTGCTTTGAACACATCCTTGCTTGGCACCTCACTTTGATGGAGTTTGCAGGAACTTATCTGGTAATTTGAGAGGTAAGCACAAAAAATAAACAAATTACATTGATCCAGTATTGAACAAGGTCTTCCAGGGCAGACCTGAAAAGAGAGTTTAGCATTTTCTCCTTTACAAATATGCAAAATGGTGTGTTTATTAAAGGGAAGGACCAAATTCATCAGACCTCTCCGAAACCAAGAATAAGACTGAATATTTTCTTACGACTTAAAGTATGTTTTAAAGCAAATCTTTCACTGGTAATTTAATAGTCAAGTTGAGTAGAATTAGACACTACTTTTGGACAGGATTCAGCAACAGGCAGGTTGAATGATTTCCATCTAGGAAGCCAGATCTTTCCTGATAAACCCATGTAAGATTAGCTACTATACTAAAGGACTATTTCTCAGAGAAATAAATCAACATGACAGAACCTCAGGTGAGATCAGCTTATTTGTTACAAACCTGACCCAAAGCACTTGATTTCTCACAATACATTTCCATGGAAGGCAATGGTTTTTGGTCTTTTTGTGGTAGTTTTTTTTTTTTTTAAAGATACATTTATAGCGAGTATTCTTTCTGTACTGTACACGAAGAAATCCAACTACAATTGGTGAGCTAAGGCTTGAAGTCCTTACTACCTTCTGAGTAAAGCCAGGAGAGGTTAGAAGAATGGATCAGGTGGGAGAAATCATTCGTAATGGCTAATCTTCAGCTAATCTAAATCAGACTCACCTTTGTAAAGCCAACACAGCTAAAGCAATTTACACCAACCTAAAACTTTGCTTTCGTGGAACTTTGATGCCAGCACTACTATGTTTTCTTCGTGTTTTACAGTCAGTTAAGAGAAGGCTATCAGCACGGGTGTATTTTCAGTGATATAAACCCAGGCTGACGAGGCCCGAGGGGTATTTGTTCCAAGCGGGTACAGACAGCAGCCCCCCTCCCAGGCCCGGGAGGCG